TTGATTTAAAAAAAAAAGTCAAATATAAAGTTAAAGACTGTGTTTTTGTTGTATAATATGTCAAAGATTTTTATGACAATAAATGTAATCTTTGAAAAATAACCAACCACTATGCTTGGTTTTTAAAAAAGTTACAAACACTACATTTTTGTTTACTAAACATTGTCGCTTAATTAAAGACGATGTTTTTAGAGAAGGAAACATAGTCTTTGACTTTATTATATAGGCATAATGCTTATACATTTACAAACGTGGTCTTTGATTAAAACAACATGTCTTTTTTTAAACATGTAACGTTTGAATGAAAAAAAATAATTTTTACATGCACTACGTTTATGGAATAAGTATGTTTTACTTTTCTTTAAAAATGATGTATACTTATATTTAAAAAGTAATGTTTGAATGAAAAAAAAAATTTTACAAGCACAACATTTATTGAACAATAAACATAGTTTTTACTTTTCTTTAAAGACAACATTTCCTCTTTTAAAAATGTAGTGTTTGATTGAAAAAAAATTTATAAGCATTACATTTATGGAATGATAAACATAGTATTTACTTTTCTTTACAAATTTTTTGTCCAAGCTCAGAATGCCAGTCTTTCACAAATCAATTTCCTTAAACCTTAAACCTTAAACCTTATGGCATCAATTCATTATTGTTGCTTTCATTGCTGGTGTCATCATCGTTTCAGGTAACAAATTATTGCTTTATGTTATGTTATGATGTGTCAATGGAATGATATATGAAATATTTACTTTTCTTTATAAATTTATTTTTTCCCAAACTCAAAAAACCAATATCTCACAAATTGATTTCCTTAAACCTTAAATCCTACAGTGTCAATTCATGACTGTTGTTGCCTTTGTTGCTATCACCATCATTTCAGGTAAAAAAATTATTACCTTATGTTATGTTATGATGTGTCAATAGAATGATAAATGTAGTATTTATTTTTCTTTATAAATTTATTTTTTTTCCAAACTCAAAATACCAGTATCTTACAAAACGATTTCCTTAAACTTTAAATCGATTTGTCGTCATTGTTGCCGTGTTCGTTGCCATCATTGTCATCTTATAGCCATCATTGCTATCGTCTTCATTTCAGGTAATAAATCATTACCTTATGTTATGTTATGATGTGTCAATTGATTTTCTTATGTTAAGAAATGCTCTTATTCCATTTTATATTTATTTGTATGAAATGTTCTTATTTATTCCATATTTATTCCATTCTGTCACTGTCGTGATGAAATGTTATTATGTTATGAAATAAATAAATACATGTCTACCTAAACTGAACATAAAGAAGAACATTTGATTGACACAACATGTTCGAAAAAAAAAAGTTAGGAGATGATCTAAGTTGCTTCAAGCAACCAAGAAGAAAATATATGTTAAGTTCAATGTCTATGGCCAACCTATCTTAAACGGTGTGTCGAAGATGGTTAGCCATATTGGATGTCTTGTCTGAGAGACAATATCCATTAACTATAATAGTTGAAAGAATGTTCCAACAGAGAAAAATGATCATATATGAGAATCGATTGTGGTAAGTTATATTAATCAAATTAAAGTTATTGATTATTGATATCTAGTGCTTATGGAATGTAATTACACTGCCTTGTTCAAATGTTTTAATTTATTCTTTGTAAGAACGTTTTGACATCCCACTAAAGTATAAAAAGGTTGTATTGTAATTTGTTAGGCAGAAATTCAGAGACTTTAAAGGCAGATTAACTCATAAATATCTATTACCTAATGCTAACAATTCTAAATTGTTGTTGGCTCATCCTCTAATAATATATTCAGATATAATTAGTGATGTAGAATGGATGAAGTTTGTTTCAATTCAACTATCAAATGAATTTAGTGTATGCATAACAATTTTTTTTTTAGAAAATTATTGAAGTTGGGATTTTATTATGTGTTCTTGAATTTATTTTTTGCAAAAAATAAAAGAAGTCCAACAGCAAATAAGAGCCCAAAAAAAGTATAACCATCGAGTATTAAGAAAAGGGTATGCAAATGTGAAATATGAACTTATAAGTTTTTTATTGTGTGTTATACACATGATTTTAGGAATTTAAAATTCTATTACTTTTAAGTTGCAAACTTATATTTTCATATGGTTTCAGAAAACATCCAGCTCAAGCAACAAAATATCAATATGGGATATTTGGAAAAAAAACACATGCATAAAAAATTGAAAATTATACTAATGAAGTAGCTGAAGAAATGGTTAAAAAGATGGTAAGTGCATATCGTATTTATATCTCGTTTGCTATTTTTTTTTATGCATGTTAATATATCATATTTATTTACGTAAGTATTTTGTGTTTTAGAACAACATAGTTATGAGATGCATATCCAGTGAAAGTGAAATTGGTGCTGGTGTAGATGTGTTGACCTTAGCTTTTGGTTAAAAAAAAAAAACTTAGCGTGTTAGGGGTTTTGGGAGCTTTGTTTGTCCAACAAATTATTTCAAAACAAAACTTAAACCTCGCACATCCAAGACTACTAAATATTTATCCATAATAGCTCAACAAGATGAACGAATTGGTAAATTAGAGCACAATTATTAGCTATGACAACTAACACAATGAGCCAATCCATTACCAATAATATAGGAAATAAATTCATGGATAAAGCTTTTCACTAATCTTTTTTTCGATAATACATGTTCTGAACTAATTAATTGAATTATTTGATAATTGTGATTTGATTTTATATGAATACACTTAAATTTTGTATGTAACAAATTTTCAAGATTGAGATTATCCAAAATCTACCTATGGAAATTAGTATGCATGCACTTTTCAATTATGCGCAACAAAGATTAGTAGGTGGATCGCTAATAAATGTGGAAATTAAGGGTGGACTATTTAATTATCTATCAACTTTGTGGATTGGGGAGGAAAAGATTACTAGATTTTGTTCGATGGTAGAAATATCAGTTACAAAAATATTAGTGTATATGAGATTAGCTTATATATTCATTTAAATATATATAATATATATTGATTCATATATAATGTATATCAATATTATAATTGATTTGCATATATTGTGTAGCCTCATTACAAATGTGTGAAGAAGAGACAGATGACTAATATCTATAGATTTATTAACCCAAGTTGTATATTTACTACTGTCGGCATAGTCCCTAAGCATGCATTTATTTTGGCATGTGTAATGGAAATAGAGTCGTAATAGTTTCTTGTACCTTATAATCTTGTTTATTTGTTCATTGTTTATTTTGTTAAGTACTTTACATTGGTTTATACATATTTGATAATTTTAAAAGCATTACATTATTACATGGAATCGATACTATTTATTCAAAGGTCATAGGTAGTTGGTTTTCATTGAATATGCAACTTAGACGATTTACTTTTTCAACTTAGGAAAAGATAACCGAAAACCATCATAAGAACTAACAAATATGATAAAAAAGTACTTATCTTAGTTTTGTCAAATAATTTTTGTTATGTTTACTAGGGGTGTGCAGTCGGTTAATTTGGTTAATTCGGTCTGAAAAAATCAATAACCGAATTAACCGATTTTATTTTATCAGTAACCAAACCGACCAACAAAATTTTAACTAACCGATTTAATCGAACCGATCAAAAATCGGTTCGATTCAGTTAGTTCGATTAAATAACCGAATTTTTCATCATTTTTTCTCTTATTTTGAATAATTATTTAGCTACAAATTCAATATAATAAAACTCATATTGACATACCATTCAAACTAAATCACTAAAGAATTTAATAATTTCTACAATATTTTACAAGAAAAAAGACAAATAAATACTCATTTAAACTTATTTAATCAAAATAAATTAAATAATAAGTTTTAAAAAGTATTACTTTAACATATATCAAATAACCAACAAAGCCATCAATACATAATAATTGTCATTTCAACACATAAACAAGTTTTCAAGGATCAACAAGCCAACTTAAAAAAGCAAATCAAGCAAATATGCATCTCATAACTTTGGTGCAAAACATAAAAGACATTTTAAGTTGACAAATTGAGCTAACAACTCATACAAAACATAAAACAAGACAAGAACACTCCGAGTTGACAAATTGATATAAAAGTTCATAAAAAAACATAAAACAAGCTAATTAAAGGATATTCCAAGTTCTAACAGCATTCTTCATACATGAACCCCATAACTTTGGTGCACATCCTTCATTTTTTCCTAAAATGTTAAAAAGATTAAAATTTTAATTAGTTGTCAATGAATACAATAAATATTTTTTAAATGTAAATATTCATAGAAATTAATAATGAAATTATTTCAAAAGGTACATGCACCTTTGTTTTAATCAATTATTGGATCTAAGGCAATTTTTGACAAATTTAAAAATATATAAACCAAAAATAACAAAAGTAAGCTTTAAACAAATAAAAAAATAAAAAATAATAATCCTTAAAAAATAAATGATAGTATAAATAAAATATTACTTAAATCCATTTTGTCAAGCTGTATCAAATCATCTTCAGGTTGAAATGAATCAAGATTAGAAGATCTACGTAACCAATCTTGAGCACAAATAAGGGCTTGCACAATTTTAGGAGTTAAAGAGCTCCTATATGCATCAAGCACACGACCACCAGTGCTAAAAGCAGATTCAGAAGCAACTGTGGATATAGGAATTGCTAACACATCACGAGCTAGATGGGAAAGGATAGGAAACCTATGGCTATTAAGTTTCCACCAAATTAAAACATCAAAGTCATCACTATCATCATCGTCAGGCTCCTCACTCAAATATTTAGCCAATTCTGATTTATGTTCATCTTTGCCATGTTCAATCCTATACCTCTTGTACTTGGACTTAAAGCTTTCCTTTTTTTTTGTCGTTCCATTTCCACTTTCATCATCAGTGGGCTGTGACATTTGGCTCACTTGACTACTTTCACCAACTTGCTCAGACTGAGGTTCTAACATTCTTTTGTATTCATTAAATAAGTTTTCTATTGCTTATTGTACTTTTTTAATCATCAATGAAGCTTCATCAGAAGAATAAATTTTCATGAAGCAATATTCAACAAAAGGAAACTTTTTTGAAGGATCAAGAAAAGAAGCAATATAAACCAACATATTCATGTTCTCTATATTTCCCCAATACTTATCATATTTATCCTTCATTCTCTTCGCCATTGCATTCAACTCAACATCAGGATTTAATTGCCATTCTCGCAAAGTGGAATAAACATCACATATATCATCAAGAAAAGTATTAGATGTGACGTAAGAAGTACCTGAAACTTTCACGGTGAGATCATAAAATTGTTGCAAGAAAAGGTAAAACTTTCTAACAATTGCCCAATCATTTTGATCGGGTACCCCATCTCTCATCAAAAGCTCACTTCTATAATAAGGATCAACATCATCAAATGCATCAAATGCCCTTTCAAACTTATGAGCTGCATCCAACATCAAATAAGTAGAATTCCATCTAGTGCTAACATACAAACACAATAAACTTTTACTTTGAATATGTTCATTCACAATACACTCTTTAAACTTAGCTAACCTGGAAGGTGATTGTCTCACATATCTTATTGCCCCTCTAACACGAGCAATTATTTCATTCATTTCCTTAAATCCATCACAAACAATAAGATTAACAATATGTGCAATGCATCTCAAATGAAGATATTTGCCTCCCAAAATACTAGTTCTAGCATTGTTAAATTTTTTCCTCAAATATGCAATTGTAACATCATTAGAACTAGCATTATCAATTGTAACAGTAAAAATCTTATCAATCCCCCAATCACGTAAACATTTTTCAATCACCTCACCAATAGCTTCACCTTTGTGACTAAAAATGAGACAAAAATTTAATATCTTTTCATTTAGTTTCCAATCTTTGTCTATGAAGTGAGCCGTAAGACACATATAATTGACCATTTGTAATGAGGTCCATGTATCAGTGGTAAGAGATACTCTTGTTAAAGATGATTTCATGAATTGCTTCAAATGAGTCTTTTCATCAATATAAAGCTGATAGCAATCCCTAGCAACTGTCCATCGTGATGGTACACGAAATCTAGGACATGCAACTAACATGCAATGCCTAAATCCTTTCGACTCCATAAATCTAAATGGCAACTCATTCAGAATGATCATTTTAGCTATAACTTTTCTAACAGCATCTTGATTAAATTTCTAAGTGCCTAAAGATTCCACTCCTCCTGACGGCAACACCAATTCTGTTTGAGTACCATCATCCCCACTAACACGAGGAACCTTTTTACAAGAATTCATGTGATTCTTTAAAGCGGTGGTTCCATTCTTTTTAGGATCAGCAAAAAATTCTCTGTCACAATAATTACACCTAGCTTTACGATTACCTTTCTCATTAAGAAATTTAGTAAAGTGGTCCCATACCTCTGACCATGGCTTAGATGCTCGTCTCATCACTTTGGAATTTACAGTTGCACTTTTTGTTACCTCATCATATGCAGGAAGTTTAGAGGCCAATTGTGTTTGATTAGTTGTAGAATCCAAAATCATATCATTCACTTCATTTGACATCTTAAAAAAAACAACAGCAAGTGATCAAATTATATCCAAACAATAAAAAATAAATAATTAAATTATATTAAAATAATAAATAAAAATAAAATTATATTCAAATAATGAAAAAATAATAAAGTAATATTCACACAATTATTGAACACATTGGATATTCAAATAATGAAATAGTTTGTTAATTAAACTATATATTAGTTGCTTATTTTATCAACAAACAATGTAAGTGTCTAGCATAGTTTAAGCTAATTTATTTTAACTTTTAATTTAAGTATCTAGCATAATTTAGATTAATTAGTTGCTAGATCTAGTAAGAAAGTTAAAACTTAAAAGTGCTAGATCTCTGACAATAGATTTCTTTAAATTTTTTATTCCCAAATAGTTGTGTTTTAAATTTATTTCTCTATGTATACATCCAGTATTTACACACTCTACTTCAAGGTGTAAATCACTTAAACTATTTCTATCTTTCGCTTGTGAGTTGTGGGACCATTCTTGAATCGTCTTAGTCCACATCATTACCATGTTGCCATACCATCAGTCATCCCTAAATTACCAAAAGAAAGCAACAAAATTTGTATTTATTAAAGCTGCATCTCATTTCATAACCAAATGATCTCATCAATCCTTTGATTTCATTTCTTCTCATTCATTCCAAGTGTGTTCTTCACACTTTCCACAGCACCCTGAGCCATGCCCTTCATTTGCTCTCCAGTCTGCAACAGTACAAATTCTTATTTCATTAGTTTCCTAACCAAAGCTCAAAATAACGTAAACTTTATCAATTGTCTGTTTAATGTACCCTAAAATGAGGTATTATTATTATTGAAAAACAAAAGAATTGATGAAAAGAAATGGTAGATAAAGAAGAAACCTACTGAAAGAAACCGGTAGTCTGCTGCAAGAAACCAACAGTCTGCTGCAGAAAACCAATAGTCTACTGCAGGAAACCAGCAGACGTAGGAAACCAATAGTCTGCTGCAGGAAACCAGTAGTCTGCTGCAGGAAACCAGCAGTCTGTTGCAGAAAACCAGTAGTCTGTTGCTGTCTTTGCTGAGCAGACTCTTGAGCTGATTGAGTAGCATTTGTTACCTGGTCTCTAGCTGCATTTGTAGTATCCTTATAATTACAGAGCTTGAATTATGCTTGGGGAATAGACTTAACTAAATCAACAGATAAAATTCAGCAATCTGAGAAAAGTGCACTTCACCACACGTTAATTGGTTTCCCCAGTCGGCCTCCATGCTAGAAAATAGCATTTTCTTTTACTTTTTCTTGAGTCCACTTTCCACATCGTCTTAGTTCGAATAGTTGTTGCTTTCTTTTGGTAATTTAGCGAAGTAAGTCGAAACTGGCAGAAACTGTTATTAAAAATCTTGCTCCCTTCATTTTTATAAGTTAAAGTGCTTTCCTTGACTAAAAAGAGTATTTTCACAACTTGCTACAGATACTGTAAATCCAAAGTGGGGCGTGGAAGGTTTTGACTTTTGATCTTTTTGTTCCAGAACCTAGTCAATCAATCGGAGGAGTAAACAAGCCACTAAAAGTCCTAGACCTATTCCTTCCAGGCTAGAGATAGTGTCTATCTATCGAATCACTCTAAACAAGTAAACAACAAAAGCTACTGAAAAATACCAGCAAAAAAAACATTATCGTGGGCACACCTTGGGGTTGAGGTTTGGTTGTTTGGGTTATCTTTAGCTTAAAACATACAGGAAGAATACAGCTCTAAACATCACTCTAAAAGAAAAAATAAAGGTTATTAAGATTTAAGAACTTACGATGGCGTCTTGGGCAGATTGATCTCTACAACTGTGGATCTTGTGTAGCAAATTAGAGAGAGCAACAGATTATGAGGCAAGTAGCCAAGCAAGAGAGTAAGAGGGAGGCAAAGATGCAGGAGATTGAAGGAGAGTAAACTGTAAAGGGCAAAGACATAGTAAGCTGCAACAGAGGAAGAGCAAAAAGCAGAAAGGGGAAACGGCTGGGTGGATGAGTTATAAAAAAGGTAAGTTAAATTTAGGTTTTTTTAAAGAGAATTTACATATTTACCCTTAATTATTATAAGATCGATTAATTCGGTTATCAATTTTAAAAATCGATAACCGACCGATTTAACTAATTTAATCGATCTTAAAACTGATTACAATCGAAAATCGATTAAACCGAATCGAAATGACCATATTTCATAATTTCGGTCGGTTAAATCGGTTAGAACCGATATATGCTCACCCCTAATGTTTACGATTTATTTATGAGTATAATATTATGTTTACGATTTTCTTTGTGTTGTTTAAAGGGATTGACTATTCGTAATAAAAAGAAGAAAATCACGTGGGTTATATTTCTAGTAAGTTTGTTTATTTTATTTTCTTCAATTATTTAGAGCTATGTGAAAAGCACTTAACAACCAAACAATGGTTTGTAAGTTTCTCATCAACCAGGAAGTCAAGAATATGGGTATTATGTCATCTATTTCATAAAAAAAATAGTTTGCAATGATTTTATAAGTATACCAGATAAGATTAGCATAATTTTAAACTACAGATAAATGTTTCTACCATAAACACAATTATAAAATGCATATTAATTGACATTTATTCAATTTTTTTCAATGGGTTGATAAGGAAGAATTCACATAAGAAGAAATTAATAAAGTATGTCATGAATGATGTGACTATATATCCAGATTTATACAGTAAGAATTGAGAACAAAGAGTTTTTTTCTTTGGTTAGTTTATGTAAATTTATATATTAATGTAAATGCAATATAAATAATTTGTATAGAAATTTAAATTTTTTTCATTTATACAAATTCAAACTTTATTATTAACACAAGTCCAAAATTTTCATTTAAACATGTTCAAATTTTATGATCTATACATGTCCAAAGTTTTTCATTTATACAAGTCCAATTTTTGTGATGTATATGTGACTTATGTCTAAATTCAACAAATGTTTGATATACATAGCAAATAAGATGTTAATAAAACAAATCAGCTATATGGGTCTTAAAGGTGAAAAGTCAAATGATAGTTAATAAGCATTTACATTCATTCAATTACTTTCATATGTAATTTTCTCTAAATTCATGTGGTAACATAAAGGAGAAATCAAATTTATGAGTATCTTGAGAGAAACCATCTAGTTGTATGATTTTAATTAAGAGCGACATTTGCTTATCACTGCCCTCAGCTTTTTTTTTGAAAAACGATAAAATGCCCTTAATTTCTTATGCTGCCTCACAATATATAGCCTCGATATTGTTTATTTACACAACCAATTCAGTTAATTCATCCGAGCTCCAAGAACTCTTCTTGTTTGATAGTGTTTTACTTGTAGTAGAGGTTGTTGCATAAGCTGAACTTTTAACTTCATCATCTTTAATCTCTCCCTTTCTTGAGCAATATTGACCTTATTCTCATTATATTTAAAGTTAGCATCATCATTAATATTAAATGATTTCACAATATCAGTCGCTATTTAAGCTTTTAGACCAATAGCTTTATTGGATCTAAAAATCTTGACAAAGTCATCATAATGATGGAAAAGTTTGTTCTTTAAGCCTTTAGCATGGAGATGAGTTTACATAAAAGTTAAATAAAATATGTATCATATATTTTGATAAGAAATCAACAATCAAAGTAACTTATATATTCATGTTAACTATTTACCCCAATTTACTAATGAAAAATATCATGGTTAGCAGTTACACATTTATTTCTATCGTTTTAGCCAAATCTACTTGCATTGCTACCATATTACAAATAACATGATATTGTCTCTTCAGTAACTTTATCATTAACTCTATGTGTAGGTTTGCTTTCAGTTATGCTTGAGAAATTTTATCCTCCAACATCTTTTTTAGATGTCTTAGATAGTCAACTCTGAAGGTTCTATCTAGGATCATTAACCAAAACATATAGGCATTGGACAAGTATGTTTAGCCTTTGTCTATGTGTGATTATCTATTGATGAGATTTTTTTTTTCTTTTAGAGGTATTTCTTTTGTTGGCACCAAATGACAACATTTTGTTATCCTAATAATTTAGTTAGACATTATGCAACAAAAGCATATTAAATCAAATATCAATTAAAATGAACCAATAATTAGTGTAGGAAGAAAACTAATAGACATGATAAGAAAATGAATATTGTTACAAACAATAATCAACTACATTGTACACTTAACATAAAAAAAAGAAAAGCAAATATAAAACAAATGTAATAAACAAATATTACACTCAACCATATCATACACACATCAATGTAAGCAAGCATACAAAAAAACATTATCCTTAACCATTGGATTGCAATTAATTCGTGAACATCTCTTCTACCAATTTGTCTCTAAATTCAATCCAAGTATCACTTGACTCAACGTGCCTAATCAAATCTTGATGATTATCTCTGTCTACTTGGCTATTATTTACTTCAATAACATCGTCTTTAATAGGGTCAATTAACATCTCAGACCTAATAAAATTATAAAGAAGCTAGTAAGTAGAAATGATTCTACACTATATTTTAATTGGATAAAAATGATTTATCCTTTAAAATTGCACATCTAGCTTTTAATACCAAAACATCTCTTGATATAATTTCTTACTTGAAAGTGTTTTGTATTGAAGTATTCTTGGGGTGTCGTTGGTTGGTGTCCTAGCCTCTAAGCATTCAAGTGATACCTTTGACCTCTATAAGGTGCCAAAAAAACTTTCTCATTTATGTATCCAACATCACATAAATAGTAAAAATCTAATCCAATGATCACAACATTAATATACATTTTAAAAATGTGTTCCATGCAAAACTAAAAATTAAAATATTAAAGCTAATACCTTATGTGATCCTTAAATCATTTTTACGTGTAATGATATCCCTGAGCATTCTGCCATTTACTATAGAATATTCCCATCCTAGTAGAACATAAGTGAATTGTATGTCTGATGTGCAAACACGAAGAATATTAGTAGCAATTTCATTTTTCCTAGTTTTGTACCTAAGCATGTCAACTAAGTCTACATTCACCTTTATGTATGTTTCATTTAAGGCACTTAAACAATCCTAAACTCAACAACTCTAATTAATACATAATTAATACATGATACAAAATTGAGATTTATTAATATTTATTCAAAGCAAGCAATGAATAATGCATTACCCTAAACTATTTTTATATATTATTTATTGAATTCTCTGGTATCGGTTCTAGTTTTTTAAATAATAAAGAATGTAGTCTCAAAACATAATTTAGCATAGCATGAAATTGTTTACTAATTGTCTCTCTGGATCTGGCTGCTTGACGCTTTATAACCTTATTTTTTGTATGATAAATAATAATGTGAAGAAAGTTAATAACCATTTTTCTATTGACATTTGTCTAGATGCTTTTAATCGTCATTGTGTTTGAAACAATTAACATAGTTTTGCAAAAGCTTATCTCTTATCTATTTTACAATTATCTACATTTTGTGTATCACTCTTATAGACCATTTTGTTTAAGTTTAATGACCTAATTTGAAGCCTATCATGATTTTCATCAACATAAGATATTCTATGTCTTTTTAAATTTTGTTGTAACTATGTCATGGCAACAATAAGCAGTAATTGAAACATACTTTCCATCTAGTTCATTTGCAAAATAGGCATTTTTACCAATTGCATCTTCTTTTTTATTGATAAAATGAGTCATAACTGTTTACGAGAAAGATTTTTTTTTTAATGTTGAAAACATGTGTCAAAAGCAATAATGTGCATTTAGTAGATTAAGATCTAAGTCACATTCAACAAAAAATAAAATAGCAAGAGAACATTTGATTAGCCTAAGAAATAACAACAAAACATTTATATATCAAGAACAAAAAATTGATAGTAAGAACACATATGATAGATCAATAACATTTCAATCAAAATCTAATCTAAATCTACCAACATAATAAGAAGACATCTGATGCAAACAAATAATGCATAACAGATCATACAAAACAAAGAGTAGACTGACCGTATATCGATAAAGATAAGCTAAAATGAACTGCACGAAGATGAAATCGCAAAGATAGAAGCTAATGTTGTGTGAAACATAAAAGAATGATTTGACTAAAGCTTTACAATGTTGTATGAAAAGAGAAAGTGGTTTATATCATGTTTAAATGCAAGTATATTTTGTTATTTTTTATTGATTATCAACCATGTTTTGAAGCTAAAAAAAAAATGGTCTTTGTTATTTATCAACCACGTTTTGAAAGCCAAAAACATGGTTTTTATTAACTTATCAAAGACTACATTTTTTTATGTTAGAAACATAGTTAATGATATTAAACACTACATTTCTTACATAAAAAAATGCAATTAAAACACTCTAAAAAACCATAGTTAAAAGATGTTTATATCAATGACTACGTTTCCATAATAAAAAATGCAGTCATTAATATACATAAATTATTTATTTATCAAATACTATGTTTTTGACATAAGAAACATAATTAAAAGTATCATAAATATTATATTTTAATATTATATCAATCAATATGATTTCAAACAAAGAAATGTTGTTGATTTAAAAATATCTGTTTTATTTTGTTATTATTTTAATTGATCTACTACATTTCACATATAAAAAACTTAGTGCTTCTAAAATAAAAAAATTAAAAAACCTAAATTTGCAGTTATTTACATCGTTTGTTCTTTTAAAAACATTATTTTTATTATATGTAATATACTACGTCTCTAATTATGTGTCAAGTGTTTAATCGTATGGCTCAGATTGTAGCTTTATCCAATTGTGTGGTTATAAATACCTATTTTCATGGTAGCATGAGTTTCCATTTATTATGCAATAATGTTAATTTTTAATGGTAAAATAAATTGAAAAAATTTATTATTAAGGACAAAATGAAAAAAATTAATTTTTCTCCAAAAATCTTAAAAAATCATAAAAAAATGAGTTTCTGATTTCAAACTATTTGTACACTAATAAAAATCTTAAAATACTCTTAAAAATCAAATACCGTGAATCAAATGTAATCCTGATTGTATATTAGGGTTGGATAGATTTGACATTTGAGAAAATATTAGAGCTGAAAAAACAAAAACCCAAAAAAATAAGAGAAAAACGTCAATATAGGAAGAATTTTTTTTTTTTTTGTTCTGGAATTGGTGAAAAAGTTGCAAACTTTACAAGTTTAATTCACTCTGAAGTGAAAAAAAAAAAAGATTTATTTTGATCTTATTTACTTCAACGTATGTCTGTTGCATAATTATTTTAAAATTTAAATATTTGTGCAAAAAATCTTTGTTTGATTGAGGTGAAAAGTAGTGACTGGCTTAGAACGACGTGATAAGTTAGTGCAACTTGACTGATTTAGGAACGGAAAAAAATTTAAAAAATTTAAAAATAATTTAAAATTATAGTATTTCATCTTGTTTGAATTATTTTTTATAAATATAAATATTAAACATTAATATTATATTCAAATCAAATTTTAGATAAAAAATGAAAATTAAAAAAATTAAATTGAATTAAATTATATATTTTTATTAATTTATATATATTATATTTTTATAAAATAAAGTAATTATTTTATATTTAAATTTATTTAAATATATTAAAATTATATTAAAATAATATAAAAAATAAAATTCACAAACTTATGAACTTAATAAAATAAATTAATAAAATTTAATTCGGATCATATTAATTAAAATTAAAATTAAAATTTAAAAATTTATAATATCATACATTATTAAAAAAAATTAAATCAAATTTGAATCATTATCACCATTCCTTACTAACTGCCGACTTCCAATTTCTAAACCTCTCAGAATCAAAAGTCAAATGAGAATAATTCTGGTCAGGATATTGCTAATAGAAAACCCCAACTAAACCTACAATTCTTCAGTAAAATAAATTGTAACACCTTAAAAGAGTCCAAATCTTGCCACTTGTCAGAGCTTTTAACTGTAATTTGATTATAAAAAAATTTTCGTATTTTCTGCCGGCAGCGTGGATAGAATTCAAATAAACGACGGATGGGAATATGCCAAGAACAAGATGTTGTTTAGTAACGCTCGTTTTACCATGATGATGTTTCCCTTCCTGTCCCTGCCCTCTAATTCCTTGCAGTACTCTGACCTAATTCCAGATCATGCCTGCTTAATTAGTTGTTGGATGATCATGCAATCATATGAACGCACATCAATATAAAATTGAACCAAACAGTTGGATGAAAAGAAAAAGTCACGTCTAATACGTAATTAGTAGTCATTTGAGTGCTATATGAGTTTAACGTGTAGTCATTTGGGGTTTTATAAAAATCTAAAACTGGAATTGAACCAAATGGACGAATGCCACTGCACATTGCAGTGAGCAATGTTTAATTAAGCCACGTACATAAGTTATCTTCTCTGTTGCATTAGCTTGCTCCCTGCGGCCTCTGATGAGCCATGGCCAGAAGTTTTTGTCAAAATAATATAAATTGTAAGCATCGACGAGAGTCCACTACAAGATAAACACATGATAATATCTCAAATTGTGTGCTTACAAAGAGGTTTTTGTCGTTTTCAAAAAGCAGGCATTCAACCTGGAAACTGTCAAACTATAACTATACCCAATGGCAAATATGTAAAGACAAAGAGAACAAAGAGCACCATTTCTGGCTCTTCCATTTTTCATCTACTCTTCTTTCTCTCTTTCGTTGGAAAAAAAAAAAAAATTCCCAAGCTCATAACCATGGCTTCCCATAATCTCCTAACCTGCATTGTCTTCCCTTTATTGCTAACTTTACTTGCTAGAATTTGTGCAGCCGGTGTCTCTATGTTTCCGTGCTCACAAGACATCAAGAAATGTGATGCCTTGTTGTACCACATCAACTCTGGTCCACAGAAAAAGCAAATTGCCTCATATTACTCAGTTGACCCTTCTACTTTCCGCTATATTTCCCATAGAAACAACCAGGATTACCTTATACCAGTCACTTGTACGTGTGAAGATATCGGTAATGGCACAAAAGCATACTTATACAATGCATCCTATACAGTGCAAGAGAACGACACTTTTGCGGAAGTTTCAACTCGTATTTACAGTGGACAAGCACTTGAAGTTGGAGGAGAAGAAAAGAGTTTTATTACAGGAAACAAAGTATCCATGCATCTGTTATGCGGATGCCTAGAAACTCAGTCTGAAACCATAGTTACATATACAGTTCAGCCGGGCGATGTTTTATCAGATATTGCTACTCTGTTGTCGGTAAACATAAATGATATACAGAACTTGAACAGCAATCTGATTCAAAATCCGGATGACATAATTGCTGGTTGGGTGCTGTATGTGCCCATGGAAAATGGTCGAATTCCACCACCCAAGAAAGGTGAGTAGTGCCACAATTCAACAACATATTTCATTACATGTGCTTTACATTTTCAGCTTCATAGTTTACAAAGCAAATACCAGGAAATTGCATAGAGGTTATTGTTGGAGGAAAATCTGTTGTACTTCCAATCAATTGCGCTTGTCTGAAATTTAAGTAGTTTTGCCAGAGATTTCAATCCAAATTTTCCACGGAGAAAAATCCACTATAACTATAACTATGGAGATTGAAAAAAAGTACAAAAGATCAAAAACGAACAAACACTAATCCTAAACAAACCTAGTTTTCACGCTGCCCAATGCTTAAAAACATAAAATACCCTTTCTCCCACGTAATCAAGTGTTTTTTCAACTATTTCTAACCAAATATTCATTAAAAACTCTTATAAAGTATATTCATCCTTTAAATAAACTTAACCACTACTAATTCTTCAACTAAATGAATTTTACGGAAATTCAAACAGATTCTCAACTAGAATTTGAATCAATATCTTACAAATGCTGTAATATGTTGTTTTGATGTTTGCTAAATGATAACTTTTTGCACTTTCAACGTTTGCAATGCATCCTTATTTTTAATTCCTTGGAAAAAATCTATCTTCATCCTGAGAAAATTTCATGAGAACTGCTTTGATCATTCACTTAACTTGGTTCAATTCTTATAAGTAAATACTAGAGTTATTTTCCAATAATATGCTGCCAAATGCTCTTCTGACCGTACCAAGTGCGCCACTAGTATTGCTTTGGTAAAGTTTGAGATAATTTTATCCGTTATACTACTACTTATTACCAAATCCATAAATATCTATTGTTTTGTGATAATTTAATTTTCATTTCCTTGTTTTTTCCATCAATTATCAGGGAGATCAAAGGATAAATGGAAATTTGTTATTGTCCTATTATCGGCAGTTACGCTATTTTCAACGATTGCATTTTTTGTCATTCTCATCCGGAGAAAAAAAGCACAGCAAGTGAGCGAGGAAGACTCAAAACCTGTATCCAAAACCATGGGTACCAGAGCATTTTCATTGCAGAGCCACTTTCTATACAAGGAAAACATAGAAGGTCAGATTAAAAAATGGATACAGTCATGCAGACTGTTAAAAATACAGAAAATACCGAGATTAGTTGCATTGTGTTTGTTTCCAGTAACGACTAGAACAACCCACTTTAAGAGTGGAAGGAAGATATTAACTCATCTGTGCTGCATTTCGATATACAGATGTAACGGCTTTGGAATCAGAAAGACCAGTGATATATAGTCTCGAGGAGATTGAAGAGGCTACAAGTAATTTTGATGAAACTAAGAAAATTGGAACAGGGGGGTATGGATGTGTGTACTTTGGAATACTAGGACAGAAGGTACGACTTTCTTTTCTAAATTTTCTACTTGTCCTTGATAATGCTTTAGCCAAAACATTGAAACCCAACAGCTGCAACTCCTCTTTGGAAAAAAAATAGCATTTTAACAAACCACTTACCTTTTCGCACTTCAGGAGGTTGCGATAAAGCAGATGAAATCTAACAAATCCAAAGAGTTCTTTGCTGAACTCAAGGTATTGTGCAAGATCCATCACATAAATGTGGTAAGTTAACTACCATGTAAAAATGAGTAACTTTTTTTGATGTCAAGACAGGAGTAAAAAGCATCATGTTTGCTAATGGAAAGGAAAATCCATGTTTTACACAGGTTGAGCTCTTGGGATTTACTAGTGGAGATGACCACCTCTACTTGGTTTATGAGTATGTCCAGAATGGATCACTCAATGATCATCTCCATAATCCCTTACTGAATGGTCACCAGCCGCTCTCTTGGACAGCAAGAACACAAATTGCACTCGATGCTGCTAAAGGCATTGAATACATTCATGACCACACAAAAGCACGGTATGTGCACAGGGATATAAAGACCAGTAACATTCTACTCGATAAGAGGCTACGAGCAAAGGTATTAAAATTAATTCGTTTTCATCATGCTGCTTCTTAGTTTTGCATTTTGTTGAACTTTTTCTTATTGGCTTATTGTTCACATGGATCACTTCTGTAAGGATAATCTCCCTTATTCAGTAAATCTTCTCTAGCCATGAAATTTAATCTCCCTCGAAATTTCTTGACTTCACCAGGATGATATGTTCTACGGGGATCGAGCATTTCAGCAATAATTATTTTACAAAATTTCAATTAAATGTTAACTCTTATTCCTGTTTTATTGTTTATTCAAGTCTTAATCCTCCTGACAGTAACAATTATTTTCAACTCAATTAGGTTGCAGATTTTGGATTAGCAAAGCTTGTTGAGCGAACAAATGAAGAAGACCTCATAGCTACACGATTGGTTGGAACACCAGGTTACCTCCCCCCCGAGTAAGTCTACTTACTATAATCACCAATGCTTTGTTTCTTACAAAATCTTAATCCAAGGAGCTTTTCATTGGAAGAAAATCTCCACTGCGAATTTTCCACACGCACACGACAGTAATTGTGTTTCCCAGAATGACTTTTCTGATATGCTTTCCTGGAAAGATCGGTGACGGCCCTCCAAGTGACCCCCAAAACTGATGTGTATGCATTCGGGGTGGTCCTGGCGGAGCTGATAACAGGTCAACGTGCACTGGTTCGTGACAGTCAGGAGCCAAACAAAATGAAATCACTAATTGCAGTTGTAAGTAAATTGATTCACATATTTGAGAAACTTAATTGGGTGGAATAACAGTGTTATTAAGATTGAAAAGCTCTTCACATAGACTAGGCTAAGCTCTTCTAGAATGAATGGCATTTGCACTTATAAATCCACTTCGTTTTCTCCCTGTGCTACGTCAATCCTTTTCAAATAAAGACGTTTTCTTCCCGGCATAAGTGCATTGTAGAGATAATTTTCAGCACTCTTTCTTCATGATAAGATGTGCGGTTCATTCCACCCTGCATTTTACAGGCACATGAACATGTTTGCTCCATTCAATTCCGGTTCATTGCTTTTAATTTCGTTGTTAGGTTAATAAGATATTCGAAGAAGAGGATCCGAAATCAACTTTAGAAGAAGCCATAGATGGAAATCTTAGAGGCAGCTATCCCATGGAGGATGTGTACAAGGTAGCCTGATTTCCTCCACAATCATATAAAGTCATCTTGTGTCATCAGCCATAACATTTTTCCTGACTTCAAAAAATTGGAAAATTTGCATGCATCGTTTGCAGATGGCTGAGCTGGCTGAGTGGTGCTTGAGTGATGACCCAGTGAAGAGACCAGAAATGAGAGAAATTGTTATAACACTTTCTCAAATCCTGATGTCCTCGGTAGAGTGGGAGGCATCACTTGGAGGGAGTCGCCATGTTTTCAGTGGCATATTCGAAGGAAGATGAAAAGCAGTCCAATGTAGAAAAATCTTATGTGTACTTGGAAGCAATTTACGTTAATCATAAGGGAAAAACAAAAGTGTAGCTGGTTGTTCATTTTATGTTCCATATAAGCTTTTGAGAAAATTATTGGGACAGAAATTTCATCGTAGAGCATTGGGACAAAATTGTGCAATTATTTTTGGTGGTGTCTATTTCCATACGCCAATAGATGGAGCCACATGCCAGAAATTTGGTCATTCCAGTTTCTCTTTTTCTTTTTTTTTTTTTGAGGGGGGGGGGGGGGGGGGAATTATTATTTACGAAGGAGGGATTTGATCCTTGTTTTTTTAACGTTAAGAAAATAAAAACCTATTTTCAACTAGTTATTATTGTTAAATTTCTATGCCTAATATGATCTAATACGCTCGAGTTACAAATACTACGACTTTTATAAATAGAAATTATCAAAGAAAATGTTTTTGAAACTTTTAATTTTCATACTCAAAATTTATGTTCAATTCACTATAAGGGTTTAGATTTTTAGTGGCGTTTTTTTCAACGTTAATGACACTAAAAGATTTACGATGTTTACAAAAAATGCCAGTTAGAGTATCGGCTATACATGCATTTGAAAAAATAACAGTATTTTCTATAAAACACTGCTATATTAACGGCATTTGTATATGAAAAAATGTCACTATTTTAGCGACATTTATATATTTGGAACGCCGCTAATTTAGTGGCGTTTATATAAAAAAAACGCTGTTAATATAGTGGCATTTATATGATAAGACGCTGCTAAATTAGCAGTATTTTTTGTATAAAAAAATATTGTTAATTTAGCAACGTTTTTATTATTGGAGCACCGCTAATTTAACAGCATTTTTTTATAAGAATGTCGCTACTTTTAGTGGCATTTTATGGTACAAACGTCTTTAAATTTAGAATTTAACCGCATTCTTGAACGTGAATGCCGTGAAGTTAAGAAATTTAATTTTTTTAATAAAAAATTTTTGTTAATATTTATTATTTTTATTAACAAGAAATGTTAAAAGAAATAAAAACGAACTTAAATTGAGAAACTGAAATTAATAAAATATTTAATTCACATTCAAATATGCATCTAATTAACACAAAGTTTAATAATTAGTATAATAACATTCAAAATTTTTTAATACATTAACAAAAAAAATTAAAATATATGAAATTGATGACTGTTTAGATTTGAAAGATTGTCAATTAATGAAGGAATTTTTTCACCTTGGTCACTAGTATGTTCAAAAATCTACTGAATAATACCATAAAATTTTAACACTTAATAGTAAGCTTTTTTTTATATTAAAATATATAAATATTTACTAAATATAATACTTGAGTTGGTGGATCACTGAGATTAGTTCACGAAAATTGTTGTTGCACAAAATTCATAAGATAATCGAATTAATCATGTAACTGTTGAAATTTTGCACGCTTTTGCTCCATTTTAGCACGTTCTTCCTCAATTTTGACACGTTTATGTTCTTTTTCTGCTTCCATTTGCTGGAAACATTGTTGTATAGTTTACAACTCCACTTTCAATATTGAAATATCTCGCGAAGACTGACTTGCTAAGAATGTAAATTGCTGAGAGCTACATCCATAGTAGGTAAATGGTATTGGATCCAATCTAAGGCATCGAATCTGTCCATGCTTTTTTTTTTCCAACAACTTTTATAAATATATGATTTTTCAATTCTTGTATGTTGATAGAATCATCAGATACTATTTCAATCTCAGCAGTCATTTTTTCTTTTGCTTTCTCCTGTAAATTGGTCATATACATCTATCAAGTTTAATAATTAATTGATAATATGTTAAAAAGAGTAAATATTTACTTTATGTTAAAATAGATGTTACAAATTACTACAATTTCTTATGTTTCAACATTTAGGTAAGATCCATATTAGCTTTTTAGGTGAGATGGTGATCTAAAAGGAGGGTGAATTGGATTTTTCTAAATTCTTCCCAAACAATGATTTCAATATAGTTGAATGAAAATTAAAACAATAAGCATTTTTTATGAAAATATAATGTAAACAATAACAATTAATGAACCTAAAATCAAATATAAACAACAATAAATTGCAAGAAGATAGGTATAGAGAAATCAAACACAATGATTTATAGAGGTTCGATCTTTTTTCACAAGGCACTACATCTTCTCTTCTTAGTTGTCCACACCAAGGCTTCAATCCATTATTTTTGAATTGAAAATACAACCTATCTGTTTCTTTCAAAGGCTTAAGATAAAAACCTTTACCCTTTGTAATATTTTACCTAATTTCACTATAAAGCTCTCAAGAGGCTACCTCACCTCTTGTACTCTTCCATCCTTATATATCAAATGTAATTTTGCAAACAATAAAACAACCTCTCTAAGGCTAAGTGTTTGCTAAGTTTAAGTACAAGAAAATGATGAATGAACAACAAATATAATTTGGATACAATAAATACAAAGATATAGACTTTGAAGCTCTAAAAACTTTTGATTATTTGAAAGAATGAAAATAAGGCTTGTTGGCTCTTGCTTTCTTGATGCATCAACTTTCTTGGTGTGTTGGAGTGCCTAATTTATAGAGAAATTGAGGAAATGGCCGTTGGAAGTGTTTGGGAGAAGAAAATAGCCGTTGGAAGTATGAAAAAGTAGTTGTTGGAGTGATCTTACCCATACCCAATCGATCTCTTCCTTTAGGGGATCGATTGGTTCATTTTTGAAAGCCAATTTTGCTTTTGAAAATGCCTACCTGATCGATTCCTTTATGTAGGGGATCAATTGTTAAGGGGGTGATCGAATTATAGTGAATTTTCAAAGTTACGTATTGTGCAGTTTTTAGATAACTGCAGAGTGTCTAGTAAAAATTCAAAATCTTTTCTAAAAAATTTGAATTTTGATTTTGTTTAATCCATTGGAAAGTAGACTCAAAGAGCTTTCCAACCATATAAAATTTAAATATTAAAACTTTGTGAATTAATACAAAAAAATAAAATAAGTTCAATGTTGGAAAACTTTGTTCTTGTAAAACAACTTTCTTAAGTTAATCTATTTCTTAAAATCAATATTATCAAAATTGTATTAAGTCTGAAATGAATAAGTTCATTTTAAAAACAACAATTGGACTTTCGTTTAAGCTCAAATAAATAATCTTTAAAGATAGATTTGGTTTGAGAAATATGAAACGAAGAAAAGTTTGTTTAAACTTTGAAAATCATATTATTTATTTAGTACCAAAATATAAAACTTAAGAACATATTCTAAATAAATCTTTTTCAAAATCTTGATCAAGATTATTTAGCTTAATGTTTTGTCATTTCAAAATTAGGATCAATTCAAGGCTAACAATCTCTCCCTTTTTGATATGATAAAACTTAAAGATAAATTTGTTTAATGAAAAACTTTCTTTGAAACATTTAAGATTTTAAAAAACATTTTGAAAAACTCCCCCTTAAACAATGCATGGCAAAACTCCCCCTCAATTTATGTATCTTAATCCAACATAACTCAATAAACATATGTTAGTCAAATATATCAAATAAGCACAATCAAACATATGCATGTTAAACACAAGCAAATTTGTCCATATGATATTTCTCCCTCTTTTTGTCATAGCAAAAAGGCATGAGCATATTAATGAGCAAATAAACACAAAAAAGCATCATTAACAAATATATTCATGAAAATTTTTCCTCCTTTTTGTTTATGTTCTTTATACCAAATATTTAAGCTCTTATATCAATTACTATAAGCATACAAGAAGAAATATCTCTAAATTCTCTCCCTCTTTTTGTCATTTCAAAAGAAAGAGAAATCAATTTAAGGTATAGGACAAAATGCTTGATACCATTAATATCAAGAGTATTTTGAATACATGTAATCAGGTATAATATGCACAATGAAATTCACATACATGTATTAAAGCACAAAAGTATAAATGTATCCAAATTTAGTATTTTAGCATAAGTCATCAAATGTACTACATGAAATTTATGAACAAAGGATAATGAATGATATGCAATCTACTCATAAATCATGTTAGGATAAGATGTACTTAGAACCTAAAATATCAATAGTAATTAAGCATAAAGTCAAGCACATTTATACAAGCTCATACCAATTGTTAAGGATACCAATTGTTAAAAATATGTCATAAAAAAAAATATCAATTGTTATCACAAAACAAATTAAGCAAAATTGTATTATAAGATTTTTCCTCCATTTCAAAATATGGATTGTCAATTTAAGGCACACACAATTTTGCATGAAAGATACAAGCTATATCAAGGATAGGCACATAAACAAGTGTCTATAAAAGTTAAAAAAAAATTTTTAGTAATTTTGATACCAATTGTTAGCAAATTTATTTAACAACTTTCATAGAGCACACATACTTCAAGCATATGAAAGACTTATTCAATATATGCATAAAAGATATTAATAATATTTCATAAGCTATCATATCCAAACAAGAACCAAAAGCTCATATGTATATAATAAATCATAAGTACTAATGAGCAATGAGGTTCAATCATCATGTCCTAACAAAGATTATACAAGCATTTTCCAAACATGATGAACACATATGCTATAGCAAAGAAATAATGAAAGCATAATCATTCAAATATAATCCAAATTATTTCAATGCATAGTAATGTACTTAATTTAAATATATGCAAGTACATAAATACAATTCAAACATATATTTCAATCAAAACCATACAAGCATATGCCAAAGCATTTCAAATCACATATAGCAATATACCAATAAAGATACAAACATTTGGACATAATGTGGTATATGCTATCTTAATGATCTCAATCAATGAACATGTATATAAAATTTTAAAATTGTAAGTTCATAATCCATGAGTCAAGGTAATTAAAAGACATAAAAAATTAATATATTCAACTCATATCTATGTCCAAAGATTCAAACAAATATTCATGCAATGAAAACTATTAATCAAAGCAATCAAGAACTAGGCATGAATATTAATCAATTCAAGCATTTAACAAAGTTAAAACAAATCTTATCAAGTAGCTTGGTGATTAATTCAA